TGGAAACCTGCAGTCAGCTGAGACTGAAGACGTCACCTGATGAGTGACGAAACGTTTCTCTCACTGAAAACATCCAGATGAACAGAATCAACTTCTTGGGGCAGTGTGTGTGTCTGTGTGTGTGTGTGTGTGTGTGCGCGTGCGGTTTAGCACTAATTTTCTGATGACCTTTTCCTCCCTGTCACAGCCCACAAACCAAATGAACAGCTCTCTATCGTCTCTGTACCGAAGAGGGAGCGCTGCCACCAGCAGTCCTCGCAGCACAGCCACTCCTCCGCCTTCAGCCTCAGCGACCCTGGTCTCCAAAGGAGGCTGGTTCATTGATAGAGCTCCCGAGAAGAGCGGCACCATCATCGACCTTTGTGACGACGACCCGACCAAACAACCAGTAAATGTATGTAACTGTAGCACGTCTGCACAGATGAACCGTAGTAAGCGTCGTGTGATAATCATTAAGATGTGAGCTGGTTGTGCTCTTTGGTGCTTGGAACTGCATCACAGTCAGTATCGCAAGTTGTTTGGCTTCAATAAGAAAAAGTGCCGGTCGTGCTAAAAAGACGATGATTTCAGTCTCAGTTTCAGTCCCTCACATCACTGTGGAGGAACTTTGAACCACTCCGCTTCAGTCCATGGTAAATGGACTGATTCTTATACAGCGCTTCTCTACTCTCCCGGAGTACTCAAAGCGCTCTATACAACACGCCACATTCACCCACCCATACTCCGATGAACGCATCGGAGAGCAATTTGGGGTTAATATCTTGCCCAAGGGTATTTGGCATGCAGACTCGAACCACCAGCCTTCCACCCCCGGTCCATGGAGGTTTGCAGGCACAAACTATCATTCATGCACATTTCTCTTAAGGTCCCGCCACAGCGTTTCAATCAGGCTGAGGTCCAGCTCCGACTGGGTTCGTCCCTGGCTCCCTGTCTGGAAGTATTCTTGGTCCTCACTGACCAGTTGCACCAGTGCATTCACTGAAATGTAAACATTATATTGAAGTGCTTAAGTATAGAAAAAGTATGTGAATGAGGATCATACTAGAAAGTGCTTTGAGTTCTCAAATGGAGTAAAAAAGTATTTCTACATTTATGAAGGTGTGGCAGCTCTGCCCTTGTACTTTGTGCTGATATGCTGTGTTTGCTGCTCTTTGTTGTCCTCTGCCCAAAGCACACTGGGCCTGATTTACTCACATTCACCTGGAATTGTTCTTACCCTGCACAAAAAAAGAGTTTGCATGCAAAATCACTGCTGCATTTATGAAACGTGGATCCTGTTTTGTTCTCACCATCACGAGTAAATCAGAATTGCACAAGGCCATTAGTTCTAAACAATCTCGTACAGTTCGCGGGCACGATCTCCATACTGCCTGCTCCAATTTTCCTCTCGAAGGAAACGCGTTTACCTCCAAGTGAAGCGGAGGAAGCAGTGGCGATGTTGTCAGAGAGAAGCCTTCACATCTAAGGCAAGGAACAAGGAAACAATGAAATAATAGTGTCTGAGGTCCAAGGACGAAGCAACAGGTTTCCACAGGAGTGAAGACCATTTGGATATGGAAATGGATAATTACTAGGGGTGCAACAATACACAAAATTCACGGTTCGGTTCGATACTTTGGTGTCACGGTTCGATATTTTTTCAATACAAAAAAATGTTCATGCTTTTTTAAT